TTTTATTGATTTCAGAGAGGAACGGAGAGGGAGAGAGAGATAGAAGCATCAGTGATGAGATACAATCATTGACCAGCTGCCTCCTGCATGCCCCACACTGGGGACGGAGCCTGCAACTCGGGCATGTGCCCTGATTGGGAATTGAACTGTGACCTCCTGGTTCATAGGTCAACACTAAACCACTGAGCCAGGCAGCTGGGCTCTACAGTTTTTCTTATTTTTATTTCCTGCTCCCAAAAATGCCCCAGGGGGAGACAGCTGCACTAGAAACTCCCACCTCTGGGAGAGGGAGGTAACTGCATCAGGGCTCTCAGGAGCCTTCACGGAGGAGCCCAGATCTCCTGGGAGGCTGCAGGGCTGATTAGCCACTATGTGCAGGGTCACCAGGAAGGGAGCCAGGAGCCTCAGTCCTGAGGGCACTCCTCCCAGCCACGCAGGAAACTCCAAACACGTCCTCACCTCTCCTTCCTCCTTTCCTCCCACCTTCCAGAGGGCCACCAGGCTCCCATGCCTTTGCCTCTGCAACGTCTGCCAGTCCTACCCCCTCTGCTTTCTCTCTGGGGACAGTAGCACTTACCATAGAACAGTGATTGTCAACCTGTGTGTCCCGACCCCTTTGGGGGTTGAACGACCCTTTCACAGGGGTCGCCTAAGACCATCGGAAAACACATATATCATTACATATTGTTTTTGTGATTAATCACTATGCTTTAATTATGTTCAATTTGTAACAATGAAAATACATCCTGCATATCAGATATTTACATTACGATTCATAACAGTAGCAAAATTACAGTTATGAAGTAGCAACAAAAATAATTTTATGGTTGGGGGTCACCACAACATGAGGAACTGTATTAAAGAGTCGCGGCATTAGGAAGGTTGAGAACCACAGCCCTAGAAGGTGTCTTGAGGATTGAATGAAATGCATTCAGTCATTCAGCAAAGATTCCATTAGCACTGAGTACTATGTGCCGGGGCCTGAGTTTTGAGCGGGGAGTGGGAGTGGGTGGATGTGGTGGAGGGATAGACCAGTGACACAGGCAAAGAAAGCAGACACAACACCCGGCCCTCTAGGAGTGAGGAGAGAGTACAATAAACACACAAAATATGGAGTGTGTCTGATGATGGCTAGCGTTATGGAGAAAAAGAAACTGGGAACTGGGGATGGAGTTTGCTGGTGGTTTGAGTGTACACAGTGGGATTTGGGGGCCGTGGCTCAGGTTTCACTTATTCGGAGTCCGCAGTGACTTTACGGAGCATAACCACTGTGAATAATGAGAATTGACTGTCATGAGAGAGATACATATAGATAGACATAAACTTCAAGCTGAAAGTTTTATATAAAACACAAATATTAACATAATATATTTACACATTTCAATTTGAGGGAGATCCCCTCCATCACCTGCCCACTGCTAATCCCTTGGGGACCAGTTCTGCCCACTGGGGTCAGACACTTAGCTGCTTTGTTAGACCCTGAGCTCTGTGCCACTGCCCACAGGCACACAGGTGTGTGGTGCTGGCCGTGCTCAGACGAGCTGAGAGTAGGACGTGGGTGTGAGCGGGGAGGGCAGCATGGACACTGTTATGTCCTCTTCCCAGAGCCCGCCCTTCCTGTCCTCTGTGGTTGATGGAGTGCTGCTGCCGAAGATGCCGGAGGAGCTTCTGGCTGAAAAGCAGCTCAACTCCGTTCCGTATATCGTCGGAATCAACCAGCAAGAGTTCGGCTGGATTCTTCCTATGGTGAGCCTGCGTGGGCCTTTGAGACCCGCCTCCGCGCCCATCCCACCAGCCTCCCCTCTCTGGTCGCAGGATCTCTTCCTTCTCCAGACCTTTCCCAGCCCCCCAACCCTACTCTGGGTCCAGGCCAGCTGTTCCCTCTGCACAAGTTGACATTTCCATGGAAACCTTCCCTGGGATGGCCCAACAACCACCTGGGTGGTGAAGCTCTGGGGCCCCCTGTCCCAAACTCTGATTGTCTCCAGTGTAAGAACCTTGGAATGCCAGTGCTGGTAGAGAGAATGATTGTGCATATGGAGAAACTGAGGCCTGGGAAGGAGGGCAGCTCAGGAGTAAGGCCTGGGGCCCTGCAGCCTCTCCCTTGGGCTTGATGCTTTCCAGTTTCTCCATAAATCCCCAGGCATGCTCTTTGTCATCCAATTAGAAGGAATCAGTGGAGCTTCCTTCGTCTTGTGGTAAAATTGACTTCTAAATGTTAGGAAGTGCTTTTCCTTCTGTCAGAGCTAAAGCCGGATACTAGTGGAAGTGGTAGGAAGAGGTTTCATTCAGTTATCTTACTGCAACTGGGGTAAGATCCAGTGTGAACTCCACTCAAACCCTGAAGTGCAAGCTTGCAGCTGTGTAAAGGCTGTCGTGCAGGGGTAGTGGGGGATGGCCATGAGACCAGGCCCCTGGATTTGTGAAGTGGCACTTCTCTGGAGGAGAAGCAAAACTCTCCTGTGTGTATGTCAGCAGGCAGGGGTGTCAGTTGCAGCAAGGTGCCCACTGAGGTTAGGGACCGGGAGAGAGAGCAGAGTTATCCCCTGCATGTCTGCATTTTG